TCAAAAGTGTGAAACAAGTTAAAAATGAAAATGAGTTATCATGTCCACACGAATTCATGTGATAAGATCTGCGCAACAAACTTAAACAAACAAAATTTGTGATTGCAAAACCCTAATTAATCACGATTGAAATAGATTATTTACGTGACCAAACATGTATGGACAATCCAATGTAAGTGTATCTAGTTGGGGAATATAGATGCACACAACGAAACCAAACAAATAAGATTTGTGATTGCAAAACCCTAATTAACAACGTTCCAGGGTACGAATAGTTACATGACCAAACATATGTGTGAACTACATTCGAATACGACTAGCTGTGATCCTTGACACTACGGGAGAAGAGATTCAGTCAAATGCAAAATATTGGACTAATAAAAGAAACAATGGATGAGTTTAAAAAAAATGTGTGGTGGGTGTGGCACGACACTCTGTTAAGCTCGGATCTCAAACAGGAAGAGAAGACTTGCTTTAGACCACAAAATGAAAAGTCTTAGAGATTAAAAAAAAAAAAAAAGAAGAAACAAAAGGAAAGTAGGAATGTAGTCTTTGAGATTAGCACGAAGAACTGACATGAGCCATATGGGTGAGGTTTTATTTGATTTTTTTTGAAGGAATTTCAGCTAAAACTGCAAAAGGAAAAAGGTAAATTTCAAAGCAGAGGGAAAAAAAGGGGAGAACTTGAAAGAATATTAGGGAAGGAAAAAAGGGTTAGAAATTTGTGTCCTTAAAGTCTCTTTAACAACTCATTTTCATGAACGCAAGCATCCAAGGTTAAACCCTAATTCAGTCTAAGTTTTTACCGTTTGAAGTTTGGATAATCATGAAGATTGAATTGAATTCAAAGTTTTTTTCGGTCAAATGTATTATGCATGGTAATGTTTTACTACATTTCCATTCAACTACTTTCTCACCCTTAATTACCAATTTAGCTTTGGACCATAACCATTAGTCACCGCCATTGGCAATCTCATATCAAAAAATTTATCTCCAAAGCTACTCCAACTTCGTTTGTTTTGTGCTCATCAAATCCTTTTATTTTAAGTGAATTCAAACTTTATTTTTCTTTTTTACTGAGATTCAAAATTTAACATTTATTATGATTTTTTTTTATAAAAATATATATCATTATCTATAACAACCTTTTATACTAATTCGTCAACTATCGAAAATAATAATAATAACAATAAAACAGTAAAACAAGCGAGCAAAGCATTGATTACCGAATACTCTAAGGAAAATACCTAGTCGAGGGGCATCTAGTTGTGTGGGATATGAGAACATCGATCTAAGGATGAAAAATATAAAGAATGGACCAACTGTCCACAGATGTTTTTCTTGATCTCTACAGTTTTTATTTGACTTTGAAATATTATTATTAGTCGTCCAAACATTTTCCCTTTTTTTTTTTTTTAAACACCGTTACCAAGGAAGTAAAATGATGGCATTTACCCAAAGCACACTCAGACTCAGACAATCTTCTTGACAATGTCTCATTAATCACACTTTGGAAGTCCACCACCTAACAGCTAAACAGTTAATGTCCCTAATTGAAAGCATAATTATCCAAATCTAAGCAGTCATTTGCTGAATGTGAGTGAAAGAAAAATGGTGTACTTTTCTTTATGTTTTGTAGAATCCAAATCATCAAGACGCTCCTAAAAGTTGAAAGAAAAGGAAAAATTCATTCCTTTTTGTGATTCTTTGGCCGACAAAAACACAACACTTTAATCTTTCTTTTGTTTCCTACAAACAAAGATGTTTTTGTTTGGCTGATTTTGAGAAAATTTCTAATGCATCATCATTATAATTCTTCTAGCTTTTCCGGTCACTTAAACAGCACCTGCCTGGTTCCATGTGTGTCATGCTGTTTCACTTAATGCTACTTGATATACCCTTTAGATTCTTTTTCCTCTATAAGAATGAATTAAGTATGAAAATCAATTTATATAGGTATATATACTAGTATTATCGTATACTACACAATCTGTCATAGCAAATACTTGTACAGAGTAGATGGATAAGGAACAATTTCATCAAAGTCTCCTTGATTTCACCATAACTAGGTCACCAACTTCAACCTTAATTCTCGATAATGATTGCCATAACTCAACTCGAAACGATTTAAGTAGAAATCGTGAGTTCCAGCATCTGTTTTAAAAGGAAAAAGAAACAGTTCATTCAACACAAACGGGGAAAATGAATGTTTGAATACAAGAAAATCTGGTATGGAAATTATGCCAGGTTAATGGATATCATCATGCATTGAATTTGATACAAGTTTGAAAGTTCTACCTTAGTACAGCTTTGAAAGGGTGATATTGAACTGTATCTTCAGCTGTGAATTCAAGTTTTTCATCAGAGTTATGATGTCATGGCATCAAAGTTTATTCATAAATAATTGGAAAGTGTACTTGATTTCCCGCTGATAACAAATGCCATTTTGTTTCTACTTCTTTTGTTGAGTTGTATTAATCATTAAGAAACTAAGCATTAATTTGAATGACAATGTAAATCATCTCACCTAGATTCAATTATAGAAAAAAAATTATAGATATTAAAATATAATATTTAAATTTATTAAATATTATATCTTAAAAATAATTATACGAATTAAATTTTGAATTCATTATAAATTCTTTTTAGATTATGAGGATGTCATGTCATTTCACAAAATTAAAATATTAACAAAATTCATTGAATAATTCTATTTTTTAAAAATAAGTTTCAATACTTTTGTTGTATTCAAATAAATTTTTATATATTGATTTATATCTAAATAAATCATTATTTCAAATAGAAAAATGATTTATGTTAAAAAATTTTAGATATAATTAAAAATTTAAGAGTTTATTTGAGTATAAATTAAATATTTATTGAAATATAAATTAAAAATTAATGATTTATTTGAATGTAATAAAAATAAAATAATTTATTTAAATAAAGTTATAAATTTTTTAAAAAATTATTATTTTTACTTTCCAAAAAATATAAAGTGACATAGCCAAAGAAAATGTTTAAAACTTATATTTAGTAGATCCATCACATGATATTCAAAGAAACTATACAAAATATATTGGCAATCATAGAAACATAAATTTAGGAAACGAATTTCACTTTTAACAAATTAAGGCAAATAACCATACCAAATGTACTAATTGACTAATTCAACCAAAGCTCTGAATTTTGACCAAATACCAAAATATTTCCTGTCTTCCAAACAATTCAACGCACTAAATTCCAAAATTGTAAGAAATTGCTGTGGATGAACTGTTGCTGAAATAGTACAGTCCTAGCAACCATTTGAGAATTACCCCATGTGAGTGAAAAAAAAAAAAAGGATTACATTTCATAACCGAAAGCGTATAAAAGGGAAAAATAATAATACTTTTTGTTCTGTACAAAGTACGTATAAAAAAGCCGAAAGAGTCAAAAGGTGGTCATTATTGTAAATTCTGCAAGAATCGTTTGTTTCCGGTCATTGGCTGATAATATCAGATGACGCGCGTCAGCATGGGACAAAAAAAAGGGTCACTGCTCTTAATTGTAAGAAAAAAAATCAAAAAAATTCGAAAATCCATTTGAAATTTAGTGTTCAATTTAGTTTAAATTAAATTTTTTGTTGGAGTTAGATCAAATTTAAATTAAATTTTTAAAAATTGAATTGAATTAAATTATTTTTTAAATTTTTATATACATTTTAAAATTTTATAAAATAAAAAATAATAATTTTATATAAAATTTATTTAAATATATTAAAACAATAGATAAATTAATAAATTAAAATGAATAAATTAAATCAAATTAAACTGATTAATTTTTATTCGATTTAAATTAAAATTAAATTTAAAATTTTATAATATTATTTAATATCCGTAAAAATCGAAGTGAATCGAATTCAAATTGAACCATAATCACCATTTTCATAGGTCACTTTCATCTTGTTTCAGTCTCACAATCTTGTCCTGCCACTTTGTCTAAATTGCAAATCTAGACCTGTCGTTTTCTTCTTCATTCTCTTATTTTAGCTAGAACTGTAACCAAATAAAATATTAGACTAACAGGTTTAATTTTTATTATTAAATACAATAAATGATTGAATAATATTTTAAATTTTATTAATTAAATAAATAAATTATAAATATAATTTGATTGATTTATATTAGAAGCATAACTAAATAAAGTATTTAATTAGCAGTTCACGCACAGATTATTTTTGTTTATTTATATTTATTTGTTAAATTTAATAAATAATCAAAAATAATATTTTAAAATTTAATTAGGTGAATAGATATAAAAATAACAAAATTCATTCTCAATTATACCCTATCTCCCGCATAAAAAAGGTAAAATTACATGTTGATGTGTTAGCTCCATATTCCTTTTTTTTTTTTTTTGGTTCAGATGTTAGCTCCATTTTCTGATGGGTCGTTAATTTACAAAATTCCCGCGAGTATGAAAGAAGATTAATTCAGGATTAGCTCAGTTGGACCGCGGCCAAAAAATATATAATAAAAAAATTGATGCCAGCTAATTTTATACTGTGAGAAGCAAAACAGACAAAGAAATTAACTTATTACTCAGTTTGCTGTAAACAAGGAGGAAACGCTCAAAAAGCACCAAGGCTAAGGGTGCCGATTCCAAAGACATCTTGATGAACAGACAATGAGACAATAACCCATCCATCTCTTCTCTTTCTTAAAAAATTCTTGTATTTGCCCTTGTTGATGTCCATATTTTGCGCTTACATTTCGCTTCTGATTCTCACTCTTCTTCTCTCAGTCACAGTCTCACTACCTGTCACTCTCTCTCTTGCTTTTACCCTAAAAGGGGCACTGATTTGCTTCTTAAGAGGCCCTCTCCTTGAGTAGTCTTTTCAAGCCCCTGAAATCTCTGAGAGAGAGAGAGAGAGAGAGAGAGAGAGGGAGGAGGAGACTGTTTCAGCTTCACTCTCTAATATTGTTTCCACTCTTATATAAATTATTATACCCTTAAAATCCCATTTCTTTGTTCTTAAATTCTTTGATTAAAAGAGAAAATTTTTCCACATATAAACCGACGCTGTTATTACCATTTCTTGTTTAGAAGATAAGATAAAGAGAGTGTTTTTTTTTTTTTTTGAGAGGTTTTTGTCTGCAATGGAACCAAGTTTTGATTGTGCAGTTTCGAGTCTTCTATGTTCAGAAGACAACAACAGCATTTTTTATGATAATGATTACTGCGCTGGTGGTTCTGAGCTGGAAGGGTTTGGGGCAACATGGAATCATAGATATTATCGAAACTTGAACCAAAATCGGGTCTTTAATGGTGTTCATGAAGATGGGTTGCCATTGCAGAGTGAGGAGTGTTTGGCTTTGATGGTTGAGAAAGAACATCAACATTTGCCTAATTTTGATTACTTGAAGAGGCTACAAAGTGGAGATTTGGACTTGACGGCTAGAAAAGAAGCTGTTGATTGGATTGGGAAGGTGGGTTAACTCAGAAATGAGTCATCGTCTTTCTTTATCTTTCACTTATATTAATGAATGAGTATGTTTCACATTTATGAGTTTTTATGAAGGGAGTGCTTTTATTTCACTGTAGGACTTGTTACGTCGGTATTAGAAATATAGGATTGTTTCAGGGTTAAAGTCTTGTTTTCTTCTCAGATTTATATGGTTTATAAACCCTTTTTTTTTTATTAATCCTGATTACGTTTTCAAAACTCCTTGGGGTTGATGAAATGAACTGGGTTTGGTCTTCTCTTTGTTTTGGCATCATTTTTTATTTCATATACTCTGAAATGTGTTTGGTGGGCTCTTTTCTTTATCTGCTATTGGGGCCAATGCTGATTTGTTAATTGTATTTATCTCTTCATTTCTTTCTCATCATTTTGAAACTATTTCTGCTTTTTGTATGTTCCCTTTCTCTTTATTAGAGTTCTTGTTGTAGGATATGAGCTGTTGTGCTTCCTTCCCTGTTCGATTCAATTATTTGCCTTCATCATTCCTTTCTTTTGAGCTTGTTTCATGGTTGATTTTAGTTGCTCTGTTTCTTCAACAGGTTCACGTCCATTTCGGTTTTGGACCTCTTTGTGCGTATTTATCGATAAACTATTTGGACAGGTTTCTGTCTGCATATGAATTACCCGTGAGTTAAAAAACCAGTCAAACACGAGATTCTTCGTTTTTGGACATAACCTTGCACTAAACTCTATTGACTGATTTTATCTATTAATCTCGGATGATGCAGAAGGGTAAAGCTTGGATGATGCAATTACTAGCCGTAGCATGTCTATCTCTTGCAGCCAAAATGGAGGAGACTGAAGTTCCATTAATTTTAGATTTACAGGTTAAAATCAACCTGAGGCAGTAGTTTTCTTAGGTGTTGTAATTTGGGTTTTGATCTAATAGTTTTAGTGATTAACAGGTGGGAGAATCTAAATTTGTGTTTGAGGCTAGAACTATACAAAGAATGGAGCTTCTAGTGTTAAGTACCTTGAGTTGGAGAATGCAAGCAATCACCCCATTCTCCTTCTTAGACTATTTCCTTTACAAGCTTAATGATGATAAAATCCCGCTTAGAAGTTCAATCTTGAGATCAATCCAACTCATCTCAAGCACAATAAAAGGTACCTCTCTCTGTTCTCCGCGGTTGCACGCGGACAAGTGTACTATTTTTGCAATAATTTTTTGTGTGCAGTGGTCTCAAATATGATGAGAGGTTTGAGAGGGGTCTGATGTTTTTTGGTGGGTGGGAATTGAATGCAGGGATTGACTTCTTGGAATTCAAGCCTTCTGAGATTGCAGCAGCAGTGGCAATGTCTGTTGCTGTAGAAACCAGAACAGTGGACACTGAGAAAGCAATTTCTGTTCTTACACAGCATGTACAAAAGGTAAAAGCTGGTGGTCCAAAATTCAAACCAAAAAGGGAACATAGATGGTTGCTTTTGCTGTTTAGGGTTTGATACTTGGTAATTAGATTGAACTAGCACATGGTTTGAATGATTTTTTTTTTTTTTTGCAGGAGAGAGTGACGAAGTGTGTGGAATTGGTACATGATTTGTCATTGGTTGGTGGGTCTGTTAAGGAAGGTAATGCATCTGTCCCATCTGTGCCTCACAGCCCTATTGGGGTTCTGGATGCCCCATGCTTGAGTTATAAAAGTGATAACACGACAGTTGGGTCATGTTCAAGTTCTTCACATACAAATAGTAGTCCCAGTATCAAAAGGAGAAAGCTAAACAGATCATGTGAAGTGCAGCTGTAAAACTGATGGAAGATCAAGATGCTAGGGATATTCACTACGTTTGTTATTGTTACGTGGTAGCTTTGAGTGTGTTTTGTTTAGGAGATCTGGACCAAAAGGTAAAACCAAAAAGTACAGGATGGGAGAAAGAGGGAGGATGGAAATTTGAGGGGAAAGGAAGGGGACAAAATGCTACATGAATGGAAAGTGGTCTACAATAATTTGTGCCATGGACTGAGTATGGAGGATTGGATCAAGGCATTTCATGCTCCTGGCATGGCTAGGGGTCACCAGCTGTTAAATTTTAGACTTCTTAACAGCTAGTAATAGCACTAGAGAAGTGGGGCAAATGGGGAAAGTAAAAAAAGAACAGTTGTTCTGCTTTGTGAGATACAGCATCTTGTATGGTGGAGGTTTTTTGGAGCAAGAAAAATGAAAAGCAAAAAATATATATATATATAATATATATAGTAATATGAGATAGATTTGCAAAAATTATTGGTTTGTATTGCTATGATTATCATTTTAATATCGTAAATTTTGAAGATGGGCATATAGAAAAGACAAAGAAACAAGAGGAACCCAAGACAAACAAAATTAGAAGCACATTTTCCCTTTCTTTTTTTGGCTTGATATACGGTATTGAAATGATAAATTAAAGAAAAAGTTAAAAAGGAGGATCCTGCAAAATAGTTTAATGACTATATTTAAATATTACTGGGCTGGGCTGGGCAGCACAGCACTAAAAGTGCCAATAAATAAAATCTTTAAAAATTTTAATTTAGGCCTCAGGTATTGGTTGTTGGGCCCCCACGAGGGTACATATCAGCTAATAAAGGATTATTCCAGGCATTGAACCATGACCAATTTGACCATGAGGAGAAGCTAAACTGCACCAAATACTTGGAACTTTAACAAGGCCAATGGTTGGATCAAATCCAATTGATCAAAAGATGGAAGCCCTTTATTTCTTTAGCTTTCCTTTGGTAATGAAGGCAGAGAATGCTTTCATCCCCCCATGAATACGATGCAAATGATGCTAATTTCTCTGTTTCAAACATGAAAATGAAACCTTAGGTAAAGCTAAAATGAGTGGGTGGGGGAGGAAAGGTTTCAAAGTCATGGCGTTTCTAAACTTGGATTAGATTTTTTTTTTCCCCAAAGAGCTCGCAGCTTCGGATAGACAACGAATAATAAATATTGTGATTTAAATTCTAAATACATTAAATGTCAATTCTTAAAAATAAATGTATGAATTAACTTAATTAAACTCTGAGTTCAACTTGGTTTACAGTCCTCTGATTTTACTCGGTAAAGACAAATGAGGCCAGCTGAAGCCCAGAGATATGACACGTTAAAATGCAATACATTCAATTTCTGAGCCATCCCATTAACAGCCTTGATCCAGAAATTAGGATTGGCATTACATTCGGCCGCCTCTGCCATGTAAAAGATTCGCAAACGGCCTCAACCTGACCACTTATTGCTAAGAACATCGCTTACAATTTAACTACTTTGACGACTCCAAATGCGACATGAATAATCCCATTAAAACAAAAAAGGAATCACAACAATACTCAAGGCCCTAATCAAACTACCAAAAAATGAACTAGACCCCGGAAAAAGAAGAGAGCTTGAAAACAAGGGGCTAATTATCCCAAACTGAGATATCAATGTCGACATGCAGCCACTGGAAACAAGAGTTAAAATAATGTCAACAACCCAAGTTGCAAAAGGACCAATACATGCAACTGAGCATATCGATGATATTTTATTCACTGTTGAAGATAAGAGTAAGCTGTTTCCGTATCTCTTCCTGCTGAACATTTAAGATAAAGCTGTTGTGTTTATTTTGACTTTTGTTTGGTACACCAGTCATTTGTTTTATTCTAACACTTTATTCAGTGATATAACTGTCCAAATCTGCGTTCATCGTTACAAATTGACACTTGTCATATAAATTCTATATATCAAGACATGCTCTGCCGCCTCTCGGTTACATTGTTTAAGAGATCAGAGCATGTATAAACAAAGGAGGTTGGGTAGAAAATTGGACAAAAATGCTAAAAATTATAGAGATGCGATCTATCAATGGACAACGATTGTGGCTCCATACCTCAGGCAAATAAGGAAAGGAAAAATAAAAAAGCGGTTAAGCTCGACCAGTCTTGAGATTGATTGGAGAACAGGTAAAAGATTCGGGTCGGTCTTCTTAAATAATAAAGCCAGACAAAGATAAGTGTCTCTTTTGAAGCTATGTTGGACCTCCAATAATTGAAGGGTAGATAGTTGACTGCAATTGGGCTACTTTCTATGCAAATAGTCATTGAGCCCATTAAAATCTAAGCATTTCTCTGATAATAACCAATAAGGTGAAGTATGAGAGAAATAGATAAAAATAGTTATAAGGTTTTACATTTGATTAAATATTTGATTAAAGGAGATTGAGAGTATTTTTAAGTAATTTATGTTTAGATGTTTGGTTTGGGATATTCAATGAGATTAAAGGAGAATAAAAATATCTATGAATATGAATGTTTGATTTGAAATTATTCATTAAAAAAATAAAATGGTCCATGGATGTGGATATTTGATTTAAAATAGATTCATAAAATTAAAAGAAAATAAGTAGATTTATAAATGTCTATTTGTTTGTTAAATAGGGATTAATTGATTTGTATAAAGTTAAATATTGATGATTTGATATGATTCAATTTTTTATAATTAATAATTTTTTTAATTCATAAATATAAATAAATTAAGTACTAAACTCTTTTACACAAATGATTTAGCGTTAAATTACGCCTCGTCTTCCATTTACCTGATAATTGATTTATTGGGGTTTTGCTGGACAGTTGTCTCTATCATTTAATTGATTCAAATCAAAGCTATCAAAAATCAATCCACGGACCACAGCGACGACGTTTGGGACGGTAGAGAAAAAGATTGACCCCTGAATTCTATCTACTTGAAAGAGAGGGGTAAGCAACCCGGTGCTTGTACTGGCCCCGAAGGTTGACGACTCAATGGGAATCTAATCTATCACGGGGCAGACTCAGCCTGCCTCTCTCTCTATGTCTGGCTGCCCATCTCGGTACGGTGATAGTGGTACTTTTGGTACTCGATAATGTGGACAGGTTGACTCTCACTGGCCCATGCCATGCGCACAACTACTCAAAAGCTAACCCACTTTCACTTTCTATTTTTTTAACTCTTTGTCCCCATACTTCCCTACATTCTTTGCTTCTCACCCATCCTTTTGCATTTTTCTTCTACATTTTCCCCCATTTTTTCTCTGGGTTTCTTCTCCCACGTTGCCCAAAAATTTGCTCCGATTTGTTAAAAAAAAAAAATACAAGGGTAATTAGTAATTAGTAATTAGTAATTAATAATACCCTTGTCTCATTTTTTTTTTGGTGATTTTGAAGTTGAAGATTCATACTTTAACTTGTAAAAGAAGTAACTCTCTTAATTAAACATATTTGACAATATAAAAACTTGAAATCGTATATGACAACATAGAATATCTTAATACTCAATAAAAAGTATGAAATTTCAAATATATGATTAATACAGTAAGGTTACTTGAATTCAACATGATATACTATCGAACATAAATTTTTAAATTTAGCACGTAATGATTTTGTGTAATATAAAAAGCACTTAATTTAGAAACAATGAAGTTTTAATCAATATCATTTTAATTAACAAATTTAAATTTACCATAAATTAGAATTAACATATTTTTTATATTTAAAGTTGTTAAAGATTAAATTTTGATTTTCTCAACAAATCATATAACTGTTGATAACGGGCAATGGAATATTAGATTAATAATTTGCCCTTGAAAGTTCATCTAAAGTATTTCAAAGCTAATCATTTCATGTGATGTTAGATGTTTTTTAACAGAATTTTCATGGAATGAATCATGATATGAATATGCAACTTTGGAACAAATACAAATAAATTCAATGCGGGGAATTTTTTACAGAATAAGAACAAATTGGTTCATTTTTACAAAGTCTCAAGATTCTAGAATTCCTGAGCTATTGCCCATGAAGTAAAAGCATGAGCTTCTGCATTAGTCAAAGAAAAACACCCATTGACTAAAAATAAGAGGTGATAGAACAAGCTCATCATCGAAACAAATGCAAGTTTGGCATGGACTATAATTTGTATCAATATATTTCTTACTATATTCTTTAGTTTCAGGAGCTTATTTTGACTATGTTATCACCTATTATCATTGGGAGTGAGTTCATCACTTGCGTGCATTTTCAGCTTTACAATCTTTACCATATGTATTGATCAAGGGTTTTTATAATTATCCTTATGAGAACATGCATCATGTTAGAAACTATTTATAGTTAAAATAACGAGAACATTTGGCAATTGGCACTTTAAGATTGTATAAAACTTGTCACTTATGGTATGTAAACATGATCTTTTCCAAGCCACTTTTTTCTTTTAAAAGTAAATAAGTAATGACCACTTGCTTCAGTTTTGAAGGCTATTATGTCAATTTGATTAGTTTTCATGAATTGATCATGTTTTGCCACTTTCAAACTAGCATAATTATAAATCTATACTTTTTTTATAAAAAAATTTGTAATGAAAGATTACGTTAATTTAAGATCTTAACATATTACAAATTTTGACGAAAACTTATAATAAATTTACAAATCATATATAAAATATTTAATTCTTATAAATCTCAACTCTTGATTAATCTCCTTTAGCACTTTTGTCATTTTTAAATTTGGGTAATTATAAATTTATATGTAATGTAAAAATAGCTAAGTGTGAAAATGGTCGGTCAAACAAATTTTCTACATATTATATTAAATTCATGTGACTAATTAAGAGGTGAAGTTTTTAGATATCAATTTTGATTGTTGCTAACCAAATTTCTTTCCATTTTGCACTAAGAAGAGATTATTAATGAGACTTAAAAAAAAAAAAAAGAAAATTGACAGGTAAGTAAGGGCGTAAATAATATTAAAGGAAAATGAAGGGGCAAAAGGAAAATATGGAAATCACAAGGCTTACCACTCCCTGGAATCACCGTATAAACCGCAGAAAAAAGTGAGGAAAAGAAATTTAAAGAAAAAAAGAAACTCGTAGTTAAAACACGCCAGAAAGCACGCCACTGGCGGCTAAGCGTCCGCAGAAGTCGCTGATTTTGGCGGTCCCCAAAAAAAAAATCCCAGTACACGTGTCAGTCATCCGTAACTCGATCCCCGATCCCACCCCTCCTATATCTCTCCGTACACCCGCCTGTCACACTATCCCCTCGCGTGCATGCCATTCCATTTAACAATACTTTGACCAAACAAC